TATATATATATATATATATACATATATTCTATAATATATTATAGCAATGTAGAAAATGATATGTTACAGCATGTTTGAGGTGTATTATTATATGTTACAGCAAACGTAATAAGATAGAATGATTGAGCGCACAATAATACAAATTATAAGGTTGAGATGATGAAATTTGGTGAAAATCATAACGGGCTCAAAACGGTAGTAACTCAATGTGTCTTATACTACACATTAAAGTAGTTATTATTTATTTGTTAGTAAACTGGGGGATTTTTGGCCTTTGAAGTGATCCATAATATGGCAATTTTTTTTATTAGGAATATCATTTATATCAAATTTGAATAAAATTAAGAATACCAGCAAATTAATAAAATGCATAGATAAGAAAAGAATTTATCGAACAAGTCTAGTTAGAAATAAGGAGATAAAGTTTCAAACATTAGATGTAAGTACTTATTTAAGTAATTATAATAATCCATTCTTTAGAATAATTATTCATAAATTTATTATCCCTAAAATTAGTCGATATAAATGTGATTAATTCAATTTGATTGGGGGTAACCAAAAAAAATAAATAAATGAAAAGAATCCATTGGTGATGGCATCCATTGCTTCCTTTAATGTAATAGTATTAAACTAATACCACTTTCACTGATATATTTTATAACAAAAGGTGTTGGAAATATGATATGTAGTGGATATAATAATTTTTTTTTTCAAAATTCTTAACCGAATTTGCTTGATTTAAACAAATTCTATAATATCTGTCGTGCTAGAAATCTATTTTTTAATTTTATTAATAGCAGTATAAGTGTGATTATCCCTTTTTTAGTGCAATTACATAAATACCAACCGAAATTTCCTACTTACAAATCTACCATCCTCTTTCATCTGTTTTTTAACTTCCCACGAGCAGCACACCTCTAGAAACATTCACATGCTATTGTATATTCCTTGTATTGTTTACAACTGCAATAGATATAAATGGTATTCCTTCTTCTTTGTTAGGCAGCAATGCTTCTCTGTTATACTTCATTTTAGCTTTATAGCTTTTACCACTCAAATATCAAAATTCATTTATGAAATTCTCAATAGTTTGATAGTGGCATGTTTAAATACATTGGTTCGATAGTTTAAAAAAATCACCTAGGTTAATTTGTAAATTTCAATTTTTCGGGTGGTCTAATGTGATTATCCATTTTCTTAAACCAAGTTAAAAGATAGGGAAGCATGGTGCATTTTCAAAAAAAAAAGATAAAAAAAAAGCGGTCAAATGTTCTAATTTGTAGCACATTGATTAGAAATAAAATAAAGATATTTAAGAGGTGGCTCATCACGTCGAAGAATGTCGTAGTATCATAGCAGTTAAGTGTCCCTTTAATTAAGAAAAACAGCGAAAATACATATTTCTGTTTATTTAGTCTAACAAAAAGGCAAGATTAATCAATAGAAATTTGAACAGCATATCTTGAGCTGATTCTGTGCTAATTTAAGATTCATTCAAATTTATTTGATTCTACCTTGATTCAGATTAAATTTTCATTATATATTGGCTCTATTTGATCTGTATTATAAGTCAGAGTTGACGTTTAAAATTTAGCTAGTTCAATTCAAACAAAATATAACTGAGCATTAATAAAGACTTAAATCAACTTAGAAATATATTGGGCTGCTAATGAACCAAGTACTTTCAAATTCAACTAATCAAATAAATTTGAGTATTTTTATAAATACTCAGTTGTCATATGAATATTATTGAATAATTTGTTGCTTAAAGTACTTATAATCATGAAAATTAGTGGTTAAAGCTTATGAATAAGCTCATAAAGAAGCTTGATTAATGCACAATATCTGCCTCAATTAATGCTCAATATCCTTAGTATTTGATATAAAGCTTGATATAAAACTTGATTAAGGCATATTTATGATCATTTGTTCTTTGACTTTTAAACCAGTATTGTTTATTAATTACAAATGATTAAGTTAAATTATTGAGCTCATACTATCAATGATTAAGATTTAGGTGACTCAAAGATGCAAAACAGACATCCTACACTCCAGCTATGAAACTTCCATCAAAGCAAAAAAGTAAATCTTTTATTGTCTTTTACTCCATTATTCAAGATTTGCTTAAATTAAAATATCATGTTGTAATGTTGCAGGAAAGTGACCACCCTTCCTTTGTGGTTGGAGGAAAAATATGAAAATTTATAATATTTAATTAAGATAAAACAAAGAAGTGTAACAGCATCTTATATGTAGTTAGGGCTGTCAATTTGGCTCGTTGTTCGTGAACAGCTCGTGTTCGGCTCGTTCGTTAAGCCTAATGAGCCGAACACGAACAAATTTTTAAACTCGAAATGTAAATGAGCCGAACACGAACAACAGTTTGTTCGCTTGTGTTCGGCTCGAAATAACTCAAAAAAAAAAGATTACATAACTTTTTATATAACAATATATTACATATATTATTTATATAATAATATATTATATATATTTATGTCTAAGTTTAAATCATAACATCTCATGTGGCAATGTGGTTATTGTCTTCTTTTGTATAGATTTGATAACAGGAGCTATTTCGAACGAGCTGAACACGAGCCAAGGCTGAGCTCGCTCAAACTCGGCTCGTTTACAGCCCCATATGTAGTAGAATAATATGTAGTAGAATAATGATATTATGATTCAGCCCTCATAAATTTTAAATTTAGTTTTATGTCCCATGACGTATATATAGCTTCTAACAAGAGTCCTCTAGAATAATATTAATCTTGACTAGTACATAATTTCTTTTTTTATTTTTTATGTTGTGGCATAAAAATTATTTAATTCATACCATTTTTTAAAACCATACATAAAAATAGTATCTAACTCTATGATATTTCCAATTCTATAATCCTAATGATAGAGTTTTAGTAGTATTTAACAATATGGAAAAGTTCATTTTATTATTATTATTATTATTAAATTTGCTTTTGTGAGCTTCCAATGTGGAAAGCAGCAGTCAAAGATTTGACAAGATTCGGGCTGTGATTATGATATTCATTTTATTATGTTGAAGACAAGTTGTTATGTTGGGGCTTATTGACGCAGGAAGAGCCATAAAGATTCTCAAATAATTAATTAGGAATATGAACCTTCATGGTGATTACATTATGGGTCTTAATCTTTCTGATAAGTATGTTTAATTAAAATAATGATCATCTAGTCTATGACTGAGGTAATCCAAACCCAAATTTTCCAATTAAAGAGCTACCAAAATAACAATTGAATAAAGGAAAATAAAAATCAAAATATTCTCCCATGTATGTGCAAGTATTTTTCTCTAACATAGCCCTAAATTGACCTACAAATTAAAATAATAATATGATGGCATCACTTACATGTACTAAAATTGGCACATGTTCATTTTATCATTTCATTCTTTTTACATGATAATATTTTTTTTACTATGGTTAGGCTTTAGGTCATTTCCTACTTAGGTATTCATAAATTGATTTAGGTTCTGTTTGGGGCAGCTTATCCAAAAACGCAATTGGTTTTTACACTAAACACGGAACGCGGGTCGAACTCCGCGGTCCGTGTTTCCAAATAAGCGGTTTATCTGGATAAACATAAACTGTCTCAAACACACCCTTAGTATTTGAGGGTTACTCCCCACACAAACACAAGGGCACATAAATGTGCTTGCATGTAAAAGTTGTTAGTACAACTTTGAGTAGGAATGAAGCTTATTTGACATGATCAAAAGAGAATAAACAAAGAGAAGGTAAAGAGGAAAGACATCATTAAGAACAACACACAATCTAAGTGATTCACCAACCTTCTCTTATGTTCATAAAATAAAAAATAAAAGTAAAAAACTCAAATTCACATTTACAATTCTATCCTTGAGAAGGTGAGAAGCATTTGAAACAAGATAACACAAAGCTAAGAAGAAGAAAAAGAATATTTTGTAGTGGGGAGTAAGAGTTGCAATTGTTATGAATGATTAATGAGGAAACAATTATTTGTTTTCTTATATTTAAATAGCATAAAATTATGTAATTTTGGTTTACAAATAAAATAAATATAATTAAGATATGTAATGCAAATTGCTAACAAAATAATAAAACATTAAAACATTTATATTTAGTATGCAGGGCAAACATCATAGAAGTTGAAACACCAATTCTCCCAATAGATATATTGATTTTAAATATAGACTTTAAATTCTTAAAAATATTGTGGCATAAATTGGACTTTTTGAGATCATAAATACCTACATCATATAAAAGTATTTTTCCTGCAATGCATCGATATTTAAATGCTTATCTTGATTTTAAGTATATCAAAATAAGGGCATTTGCACACATAACACATATTTCTTATTTATTTGCATACTTACAACTACATTTTCATATTTACATATATAACATAATAGATATATAAATTATTGTTGCACTAAAAAGTTATATAATTACATTTTTAAAATTTTAAAACTAAAGTGCAAATATATGACAATAATTTGAACTTTGGTTTAATATTTGCTTTTGATGTGTGCTAGAAAATTCACATTGGTAGAGTAATGGATTATCATCTTAGTGTTGCATGAGATTTCAGCACACACTCAGATAAAAGTAAACAACTAATAATCACACCAAAAGTTTTTACGTGAAAAACTCTTAAAGTGAAAAAAAAATCAGTTGCAAGGATCCACTATAAGTTGATGATTACAAAGATCCCTTATCCCACATTCAAGAAAGAGTTACAAAGTCTTTTGAATTACATTGTCTACGTGTAAATGAACTTGTTGTAAGAAGTGGGAGGCAGCCGATGACAATCAGTGGAGGCTGACAGGTGTTGGTCAATTGTAGTCGGCGATGATCGATGGCGCTCAACAGTGGTTAATGGTGGTCAATGACAATCGACGGTGGCAGCTGTGGTGCTGGACTGCAACTCCTTCTCAAAGCTTCATTTTTTTCTCAAGCCTCAAGCTGTCTTCCCCCTTATGAGAGGGGTGGAGGTCTATTTTTAATGCTCTAGGTGCAATTAATACAGGAATCTGAACTACTTTGATCGAACGGCCTTGAGAGCTTCTTCGATCAGACAACATATGATGAACATTTGAGTATCTTAAACGATGTCGGAATTGAGCAATCTTGGGCTCAATGGATTCATCTTGTCGAGACACTCGATTCATTCATGAATATCTATATTCGACATTCATTTGACCTTTCAAATGTGTCTTGAACTTTCAAATGTGGTTTAATATCTTGTTTGGGGCTTGATTTGACTATGATTAGACTAATTTTGATATCATTGGGTCAGTCTCATCGAGCCAATCAATTTGACTGTAATTTTGCTGAAATCGAAACTAAGAAATTTTTCAATAAATATAAACTTCTTAACTCGTGTCGAATATTGAAAATTTATTGATGACATATATATGTTTCTAACATATTATCATTTATGAAAAATAAAGAAATAAAAAAAAAGTGATTGTTTAATACATCAAACGTAATTACTCCCTTTTTATTTAAAATAAATCACAAACTTCTCTTTTCATGAAAATGATTGGGAAGCTTTTTCAAGTGATTAATCTCAAATTTTCATGTTTGAAGTGTTCAATTTTCTTAAATTTTTTATTTATTTTCTTAACGGCCAAAAAAATTTAAAAAAAAAAAACTTTTTAAGCGTGTAATTTTATAATATTAAATCATATATTACGGCTGACTTGCGGCAAATATTTACATTTATTTTCTAAACGACAATTTTTATATATTCTTCCATATATCTGACTTGGCCTTCGACCCCCAGAAATATGACACGTGGCAGCTCGTCATGCTTTATGTCTAGGTCTGTTCTTTGCTCTGGCTTGACCAGGAAAAACAGGACTGGCGTTTACATGCACTAATCGAGGATAATTAGGCTAATTAACTTGTTAAGAAATCATTAAGAATTTAATTTGGCTTTCATTTCTCGCTCCTCGATGGGTGTATTTAGATATATATTGAAAACTTTTTATAAATAGATAAATAAATAACTTAATTTTTTTTTTTTTTTTTACATTAAAAATAGTCAATTGTTAATGTAAATTCTATTATAATAATAGCACGAAGGTACATATATTGTGGACGCTCATAATTATATTTAAGAGGATATAATGAATTGTAGAGTGTAAATAGGATCTTATTTATGTATCTAATTCCGAAATTTTGATTTACAATTACATTTTTATTATTTAAATATTCATTTACAATTACAAGAAGAAGTGAACAGTTGTGAAAATCGTCTTTAATTCAATTTAATCGTGATGATTTATTGTCAAATCTTTATTACAATTTGAATTCAAATGTGGCGGTAAACAGCTGGTCGATACACATGAATTCAGTTTACCAAAGCGACTGGTATAGTGGTTATTGTGTCTGACGAAGTAAAAGACCGATTGGTGATGTGTTGCGCTCGGGTGCTCTCGTGAAGTGTTTAGGTTGTTCGAGATTATATGCATGACCCGTCGATTGAATCTCTTGTCATAATATGTCAGATGATTTCGATTGAGTTGTCGGTCATTGGATGATCGACTTGGATCATGTACTTGTAACATGGTGTTTCGATTGTTTAGCCATCATCTTGAGCCACTCGATTACTATGAGATTCATGTCGACAGTTTGGGTGCATACAATAACTCTTATCATACTAAGATGCATACATTTTTAAGCTATTTAAATAATTTAAAAAATACTATCATTTTGAATATAATCCAAGCCGTTCAAAATTTATATGATCTTTCAAATAACTTTTTTGGTTAAAATTTTGTAGTTGGCTATTTTTTCTTAGATTGTTTTGAGATTAATTTTAACTAATGCAGGATTTTTGACAATTTAGCCCTATCATTTTTTAAAATTATGCAATTATCTAATTTCACGAGCTCTGATATATTTGTAACATTTTTAGTGTAGAATTATATTTTCTTTTGTATACTAAATTATTTTTAATCTTCTTTATCGTTGCATTTATAATTAGATCGAACTTATACGTAAAGAAGCACTATTTCCATTCTAACTACTTCAATAATATTGCATGCTAAAATATTCATGATCGTAGAATAATAATTTAAGACTTTAACATTGCATAACGATACAACACATGCATGATTTTTTACGTGAAAAATCCTGAAAGGTTAAAAAGTTATGGGGTTTGGCTTAGTTCAAATAGTTTACTATGTGATAAGGAGTACTGAAATCTATCTTCACGTGGAGTGGGAATATGGAATTACAATATTATGTTGAAACTATAACTGCTTTGAAATCACCCAATATATGTAACTATATAAAGTTAGTGTGGCCTATAACTGTTGTAATCTAACTATAATTATTATGCGGCTATTATAGCCATAATTGGCTATAAAAATGGTAATTGACTATAAAAGACATAGTTTGTGGCTATAACAACCGTAATTGATATGAATGTCGTAGTAGGGCAACCAAAATCATAGTTGAAGCCTATAATAACTACAATTGACAACATAAGTCGTAGTTGCAAGAGGCTATAATAGCCGACGTGGTAGGGATATCATAGTCATAGTTGGTGATTATCGATAATGATTAGTGGTTAATAACAATCTCTAGTGGTTGATGGAGACCTTTGGTGATTGACATCAAACTCTAGTGGTCGGCCATTATCTTGGGCGACCGGTGACAAAAGTCTGAACTTTAAGAGTTAATATTTTGCAATCAACTCACTCTCTTCTTTTCTACTCCTCCCTCAAATAAAGAATGAGTGTTAATTATAAGTGTTGAGAGGGGTATTTTGATAAATTTAAACAATCTTTCAAACCTTCCATCTCATTCCCTTGATTACATGTATTTTTTCAACACCTAAAAATATATTTCATAAAAATAATTGGAGGGAAAGCAATTGCATTCTATTTCATAAAAATATATACCATTTTTTACTTTAATTTAGTTTATTATTAAATGAATTTATCAAATAAATGCATTTTTATTCCTAATTTTCTATCCAAATATAATGATTGGCTCTTTTATATAACTTGTATTTCTTCATAATAAAAAAATGGGCCATTTACATGCATACCACTCAATTCCTATGTTTTCAGATCTGTAGCATCAAAACTTTACTTTTTTACAATTATACCAATTAAATTTTTCACATCATCTTAAAAAAAACACTATTTTAATTTAAAAAAAAAATTAAATGCGCATTTTCACGCATAGAAAAGTTGACATATATGTAAAAATTAAAAGTCAAATCCTAGATTTGTAAATACATAAAACCCGAGGGGCTTGTATGTAAATCCACCATAATTAATTTTAAATTTACATATTTTCACCTCTTATACTTATAAATAAACCCAAATTAAAACTATATATTTACATCAAATTTTCACCAAGTCAAATTCCCATAATCAAACCCTAACAAATGATTTACCTCGCTCTCTCCAGTGGACTTGGCCCCCCAATAGGGCCCACACGAAATTCAAATTAAAATAAAAATTAAATCCTAATATTCATTGCTCCCTCCCATATATATACCTTCTTCTTCTTCCCTGAATCTCCAAATCCTCAGAAACACAAAAAAGGCATCCATGGATCTCCACCCAAAGCAACAAATTACCCATCTCTCACCCCTTCAATCCACCAAATTCAAACCAAAAACCAAACTTTCCATCAACTCCGGCGGCGGCGCCGCCAACAAGTTCGTCGGAGTCCGACGACGCCCTTCCGGCCGTTGGGTGGCGGAGATAAAAGACACCACGCAAAAAATCCGCATGTGGCTCGGCACTTTCGAGACCGCGGAGGCCGCCGCGCTCGCCTACCCGCACCAACTTCTCCAACCGCCGCCCCTCAGCCGCCGGCGATTCCCCGGTGGCCACTCGCATCCGTAAACTCCTCCACCACAAGAAACTCACCGAGGAAGGCGGCTGCAATTCGTTTCCCCAAAACCATAAAAATGCTGCCTTTTTTCCATCGGCCGCCGCCGCCGCCGCTCGGAGCGCGACGGTGAAGGAGCTAGAACAGGAGATTCACTGGCCGTGGTTTGCAGGAGAAGATTTTGAGGTGATGTTCAATGGGTTCGAGTTGAGTGAGAGTGGTGGCGGGTTGCCGGAGATGTGCGGCGGGGGAGGCGGCGGGGGAGGAGCGGCGGAGGAGGTAGGGGTGTTTGAAAGAATGAGGGTGGAGAGGCAGATATCGGCGTCTTTATATGCGATGAACGGAGTGCAGGAGTACTTCGAGGCAATGGAGGAGTTTTCGGTTTCATCGTCTTTGTTGGATACTGTGTGGGATTTTCCGCCATTTTTATAAGGATTTAGAGGAGTTTTGCTTCTATAAAAGATATAAATGGCTGAGGACCGTTTTGATTTTAGTCTCAATCTGTTGTATTGCATTAAATTATATAATAGTTCTTAGTTCTGATGTTCATTGTTTTATGGTGACATGATGTGTTAGGGGATTTCTCACTGGGTAACGATCAGTTTTAACGCCCATTCATAGACTGTTAAGTTTCGAGTCAAATATCAATGAAATCAATCCACTAATCTTGATACATTCAAATATCTTTATATTTATTAAAAAAAAAAATCCCTTTTGAAAATTCTTGATAAGTGGATTGAACTGTAATTTTGTAAAATTGATGCATATCCCTATAAACATGATGCCTATACCATGAATTAAAGTCAGACATTCTTGTAATTCTTAACTACACTTTTCTTTTGACCCTCTTTGCACAACATTATATACAATGGGTGTGGTTCCTGAAAACTTTTGGATTCATCAGTGAGCTTAATGCTCTTGCCAAACTATGCTCGGGCTCGGCATATGAGCTCAACTCGAGTTAGAGCTTGCATTTTGATAGGCAAGCTAAGCTTCAATTAGACAAGAGTTTGTCTCCTCCAATGATTATTATATCTAGAGATTAGTACATCAGCCATATGTCCCCAAAAAAGCTCTTTTTATGCTCATCCGAGCCGTTCTCCGGACATATATGGATGAGGGGATAATAATTTTTACTAATTTACACCTTAAGAAGGAAAAGTCAACTCTAAAATTTTTTAATAAAAAAAGTTCTTGAAACACTACAATATTAAGAAAAAGACTTCCATAAATAAATAATTTAGCCTCTTTCCTCGCTCCTCCTTCAATAAAGATATGTATTGCATAATAATAAAAAAATAAAATTAGTTTGAAAATTTATGAAATGTAGTTGTGCTCATAGTTATAGTAGGGAGATTTATATATATTGATGCATGCCAGAAAATTCACGGCGATAGAATAACAGATTATCGTCTTAGTGTTGTACATGAATTATGCATACACTCAGATGAAAAAGAAAAAAACAGTGACTTCTCAAGAAGTTTCTGTATGGAAAGCACGTAAAGGGAAAAACCACGGGGTTAGGCTTAGTTAAGAAAATTCACTTCTGATTGATGATTACATAAATCAATTATCCCACAGACGGGAAATGGTAACTATATTTTTTAGTATTACGACGTTGACTGACATCAGCTGGGTGGTGGTGATCGATGACGGTTGGCGGAGGTCGACGATTATCGGTGATGGTCTTCAGCGGTTGGCGATGGTCAATTACGATCGGCGGTGGTCGACGACGGAGATTGGCGGTGGTCGACGAAGGAGGTCGGCGGTGTTCTACTACAATCGTCGGTGAAGTTGAATAACAGACAATCGTCGGTGGATTTGTCTTATCGAGCCGCTCAATTTGAGTATAAACTTCTCAGATTTAACAACCCTTTGATCTTCCATATGTGTCTGAAAATCATCTAATTATGGTTCAATGACTTGATATGGGCTTAATTTGACTTGGATTGTGTTAGTTTTTATATCATTAGGTTTGTCTCATCAAGCCGGCCAGTTTGACTATAAATTTACTGAAATCAGAGCTCTAGATGACTTTTTATCAAGATGTGAATGTTTACTGCTTAAAATATTGTCTCAAGTTTTGTGTCATGCCTCGAGATTCATGCCAAATGATAAAAATTTGTTGGTGGTGTATTATATATATCCGTAATTTTCTTTTTAAAAGTTAAAATAATTAATTTTCTATGTGATATGAAATATTGGGATGACATTAATATAAAATCTAAAGTCTAGATGTTACATACTTATGTAAATGTCCCTTATAATCTAGAATTCTTTTTTCTTTTAAATATGTTATCCATAAATATTTTTATCTAGAATTAGGCACTTTTTTTTTAAAGCAAAACAGGGTTATATTTTTTTATTACAAAAGAAAAAATATACAAACCCGGGAAAGAGGTCCCAACACACACCTCATACCAATACACAAAGAAAGTAAAAAGGACCTTTCTCCAAAAAAGAAAAATACAACTCACCCACACCAAAACACAACAAGACTCAACACACAAAATACCCGACAATCAAAGCCACAAAAAACGAATCAAAGAAAAACCAAAACAGAAAACAACATAACTAAGAGCAACCAAATAGCCACCAAACTATTCAACATTCTTTAAGGCTAAAAGCATCAGATTATAAGGAATAATCTTCGAAACTATAGCACCCCGCATCTTCAAACCCCATTTAGCCGCCCAGTGAGCAACCTTATTGTCTTCTCGCTTAGTATGAGACCAAAGAATAAATAAGTTCTTGGAAAGAGCAAAAATTCTTTTCATCTGAATATTGATACTCCAATGATAATCTTACTGTAATTGACAAAACTTCAAAAGAATCAAAGAATCAGTCAGTTTCCATAATAATAAATAATAATAAATTTCCAACCATAATTGATAGCCATTTGCAGACCATTGATAAAAACATCAGCTTCAGCAACCAAAGGGGAATCAGAAAACGCACTTGCCAAGAAGTAATAAAGAATAGAACCTAAATGGTCTCGAAAAACTCCGCCTACATTAGCAGATAAGGGATTCCAACAACCATCAACGTTAATCTTAATAAATGACATCCACAGTTTATGTCATTTAACATTATCATTAAATTTAATATGCACATAACTAGAAATATCCAGAAGATGTCTCAAATGTTTTATATTTTCAGAAAGTATAGTGTTATTGGGCAAAAATTTTAATCCTTTATATAAAAAATTCAATACCAAACTAACAGTTCCAGGCACCTTGGGAACAATGTTTTTGAATTTACAATCATTTCTAGCAATTCATTAACAACAGGTATAACAGTAAAAATACATTTACAGAGCAGCTTCCAAGCATCAAAAATCTTAGAAATGCTATTATAATGTATCAGATTTCTGTTAAATCTGTTTAACCACAACTTCTGTATAATATCATTCCATACATCAATAGTAAAATGACATTTAAGAAAAAAATATTCAATTGATTCATCATTATCATGACACAAAACACAACAAGAAGGCAATCTTAAACCTTTCATCTTAAAATATCATCACTAAGAATGATATTATAAAAAAACTCTCCAAATAAAAAAAGGAGATGAAATGTTTAATCCAAATATACCAAAAAGAGCAATCACCTTTACCAATGTCCCAACAAATCATATCTTTATTATTTCTAGCAACCTTGAGCATTTCACGCCAAATAAAAAAATCACTTTTGTTATAGGTAGTAGTCATAGGATTCATGTTAAAGCAATACTTAACATGTATCAAAAAAGCCCAAATTGAATTATTCTGACAAAAATGATACCATAATTTCATATAATTAATTTTAGTAGAATCATTTAAGCTTCTAAAGTCAAGTCCTCCATTTTATGTAGGTTTACAAAGCTTATTCCAACTTTTTCAGTGAAATTTGGAATGACCTTTACCTTCCCACATAAACTGATTAAAAAGATTTTCAATTCTCTTAATAACATTCAAAGGCATATTCATAACTTGAAGAGTATAAAGAGGGAGAGAAGTAAGAACACTTTTAAGAAGAGTCACCCTGCCACCAAAAGAAAGAAATTTATTTTCCCAGAATAATATCTTATTTTAAATTTTATCAAACAAACTAAATAATAAAGCACTCTTCCTTTTACCTTTATCCAAATGAAAACCCAAATAAGTTAAAGGTAAAGAAGCTTTATTACAAGCATTAAAATCCATAATCCAATTCCTTTTAGAAACATTAATATTTTTGAACAGTATAAAGCACATTTAGAAGTATTAAAGAATAAACCAGAGATATTCTGAAAATTTAAATCTCTGTCCAAACTCTTTTAATGGAAGTTTTATTAGCATTGTAAAATGAATCAAGTCATCAACAAAACTCAAATGAGATATACTCAAATTGCCTTTATGCTTATAATTCAAACTAGGATATGAAGTAAATAAATCATTCAAGCAACGAGATAAATAATCAAATGCAATAATGAATAGATAAGGCGACAGAGGATCTCCCTGTTTGATACCTTTAGAAGCTTTGAAAAATCCTTGCTTGGTCCCATTAATAAGAAGAGAGTAATAATTGTCATTGAGAATTCTATAAATAAGCTTTCAAAAAACATTATTAAATCCAATAGCTTTATATGCATACATGTTTATTGTTTTTACTTAATCTTTTTTGCCATTATCAATTTTATGTCCTTTTATTTTAACAAAAATAAAAATGACGACATTAATGATAATAATAGTAATAATAAGAATTGTGGTAATAATTGATGCATGCTAGAAAATTTATGGCGATAGAGAAATGAATTTTCGTCTTAACGTTGCATGAAAATTAAACACACACGCAGATAGAAGTTTACTCAAATAGAAGCTCTAGATGACTTTGAATCAAAATCTAAATATTTCTTACTAAAAATTTACAACAAGATCTGTGTGATGTTTTGAGATTGAATGTTGAAAATTTATTTGTGGTGTATCAATAACAATAATATTAATAATAATTCATGTTTTTTTTTTGTTACTTTGGGACTCTTAACTTTATAATGTTATGTTGAATTTTGGTTTCTTGATGAATATTTCTCCATTCGACTGTTAGATCTCACGAACAACGCTGTCATATTTTTTATGTGCATGTTAATCAGAGAGGATACCAACCTTTATGTGAGGCGGATGGAGAAAATTGGCTAAGAAAGGATTGTAATCGAACACTAAGTCTTATTTTAAAATGAATAAAATAGATAAATAATTAATTGATTTTTAAATTAGATTCAAATAAAAATAAATCTAAGGATTATAACATAAAATTGGTATAAGGATATTTTCAACTAATTATTTTCCTGACTTAAACTCTCCATGCAACTTAAAACCCCTAATCCTCACTAAATGCCCTCATAAATGAATGGATTATTTAAAAAAATTTGAAAATCCTATTCTAATAAATAAAGTAACGGTAACTAAGTTT